GTTCTAAACATAGATATATTGACTAATTAAAAATATAGAAAATTTTAGATCAATTCTAAAATCAGAAATAAGTGTTACTGATTTAGCCAGTCGCTATAGATAGATGTTTTAGTGGAACAGAAAGTATATTGTTTGGGTTTGAAGGTATTTTAAATTATTACCAAAACAATGTTTATAAAAAAGTACCCCTAAAAATGTGGCTCTTCATTCTGAAATGTTTGTTAAATTTTTTTGTAGGATTCATAATATATATATTATATATATATATATATATATATATATATATATATATATATATATATATATATATATATATGTATATTGTTTGGGTTTGAAGGTATTTTAAATTATTACCAAAACAATGTTTATAAAAAAGTACCCCTAAAAATGTGGCTCTTCATTCTGAAATGTTTGTTAAATTTTTTTGTAGGATTCATAATCATCGTCCCATTTTGATGACCATAAATCGGAATAAAAAAATAAAACAAACATTACTTATACAAAAATTCGGAAATCCAAACAGGTGTCACGTACCAAATTAATTAATAGGAACTTAATGGCTCTGGCATTGGGGTTTCATTAAAAATGGTCTTATTATCCTGGAGGAACGCCCGTAGAGCGGCAAGCAATGCGAGACAATGCAAATATTTGCGTTCTTTTAGCGACCACTTTCGTAGGTAAATCGAGTATTTAACCGCAAACGACACATTTTGGGGTTCTTGCGTATTATTGCCGATGCATTTAAATAAGGCTTAAATCGCCTAAATGTCGTAATCGTGCCTTTTCGATGGCTTTGCCACAGGACCACCCTTATTTTAATCACATGTCCCTTTTTCAAAATAGGAACGTCTAATTTTGTATGGCATTAAGAACGCATTAAGTAAAATACCACCCACAGATGTGTTGGTTTAGTTTACTTTAAAGGTTATTTATTATGAATTTGTTTTATAATTAAATGGAAATGTCAAAATTACATTGACCTAATAGCTTCTTTTAAGAATCCGTTAACTAAGAAGTGTTACAATATTGTTTACTTTTTACGAAAATAAATATTTTAATTTTGCTAATATAGAAGAAAATTATGTATAAATAAAAAAGTTTCCATTTTCTAGACCCCTTAGGGGATTTTCCCACCTTTTTGTAATCTGCAATGTTGCCGATTGTGCGTGCAATGAGCAATAAATAATCTAAAAATAAATGTTTTAAAAAATAATTATGTTACAATTTTATCACAACAAAAGTTTGTAAATATTTGTTAAAATTTGCATTTACTTCATTTCTGGTTGATATGTCAATCTATTTAGTATGTTAAAATATTTAACTAAATATTAATAAACAAAACAAAGCCCCTCAGGGAATTTTCCCACTTTTTGTAATATAATTATATTTACGAACCATATATTTTTGTCAACAAAAATTTGTGTTTTTAAAGTTAGGCTACACTTGAGGAGTATCCGTGCAAAACCGGCTATATCCACTTTAATAAAATGTTGGGAAAATGGCAAAAACTCTCGGTTTCTTGGCCTTTACAGATAAAAGAAAAAGCAAACTTGAGTTTTGTAGGCTTTGTGGTACTTGATTTATAAGATATACTTTCGTTTTCAAAAACTTTATATTAAGGCCAAAATTTCAAAAAATGTTTTGTATATAGCCGGTTTTGCCCAAAAACCGAATAAAATGTGAAAAAAAACCTTTATTATTCAAAAATATTAACAAAATAAATTTAGTGCAAACATGAAAAAACAGAACAAATTTTAGTAGTAGTATCGACATATTCAAGTCACATGCTCATCATCATTATTATTTATTGGATATAGCCGGGTTTGCTATAAAAACGTGGATTTGGCCGGTTTTGCTCCTAAAGCTACCTTTTAAATGTGATTTTAACATGGATATAGTCGGATTTAAACAGAATTATTTTGGTTGTCTATAGAAATTAACCCAAAGATGCGAAATCAGAAAAAAAACAAAAACTGAATAAAATGGATTTAGCCGGTTTTGCACGGATGTTCCTCACTTCATATACAGCGCAGGGAAACTATGTCGGGTATACATATATGTGGTCATTTCACGTTTATTTCCAAAATTTAAAGTTTGTGTTCTTATAATAATTTTATCACTGTGAATGCAAAAAATTATTTAATTAGTTGGATTTTTACGTTTTATTTCTAGCTTTGATGAGCTCCCGGGCCCTAGGCGGCCTCCTAGTCCTCCTAATGGAAAACCGCTGCTATTTATATAACTTACTTTTGTTTAACGAATGAATCATCAGTATTTGTAGCCATCCATTATAAAAGTGGTGACAATTTAAACTATATTTTTTCCATAAATATAAATTCTTTGTTCGTGAGTTTGGTCGATAATAGAAGCGTGAGTGTGTGACCTCTGGCCATTCGCGACGTACAACGTCGGTGGTGCCGTCCCGAGCTTCTGTGCCACTTGGTGACTGGGCACCTAATTTGTTCGCTTTTAGCCAGCCTTATATTCGTGACCCTTGGCCACTAGCGTGCCAACCGACCGAAAGAAAGTTCAAACTGGTCATCACAGGGACTCCGGTGCCTGGCACCGGAACCATAAACTCCGGGCATTAACGAGCTTTTGTCGAAATGTTACCCTTTTTCCGTTTACCCAAACGCTGTTTATAAAGGGGCTGATTTGTCACTAAATTATACACGAAATAAAAAGAAGACAGCTATTTGCATGAATATTTTAAAACAATACAAAAATTCAGATTTAAACGGTTTGATAAAAAATAAAAACAATATGACGTAAAACAAGGTGCTGTTCTTAAATTAAAATATCATGGCTACCTTGGTTACAGTTGTCGAATGTCATACAATCGTTAAAAAAAAGTGCCCTTCTTATGAAATAATAATTCGAAAATCAGTGTGAAAACCTACTTATTTCATCATTTAATCGGTTGTTAGTCCATTTTCAAGGGATAAATTTCGATACACATATACAAATTTGAAATTTTTACTGGTTAGTGGAGGTCTCATATAATTAGGCACTGCCTAAATTAAATTCGTGATTAAAATGGCGTTAATAAAACTTGTTATATAATATACTATAATCAGCATATTGTAAAAAAACGATCAATGTTATGATAATTGCTAAAAAAAATTTTAAATAATGAAAATGATTATTTTTTAATTTTGGTTGGGAAGCCACCAGGTCTAGTAATAACATAACATAATTGGTTCTGCACTAATGCATAATTTTAAGAAATCACACATTTTGAATATTAGAGCTTCACGGAATATATCTTCATGGAGGTTAGGATTTCGGTTTTTTTAAAACATCCCTTCGTATATTTGAAATAAGTTATTGTATCTTTTAACACCTTAATATTTTTTAAAAATACAATTGTACATACATAAAATATTTATAAAAAAATCTACTGAGATATTACACTTCACGGTGGATAGGTTTTTAAATAGCAAATTAATGAACTTAAACTTTTGAATTATTAAACAGCAACACTCTCATGTGCATATAAATTCTAACTGACCTTCAGGAATCACATGCATCTAATAATATAATATAATGTCGTAAACAGAGGTTTTTGCTTATTTAAAATGATTAAAGCGCCATCCGTTGCATAAAATTTAAAGCAAATACAGATTCACGGAGGTTAGAATCAATTTTTGTAACACCTACATAAATGGTTATAAAAATTATTTCTTTTAATTTTTAATAATATTTTATATTTGATTCGATTGCTTTGGATTTTTTTAATTTACTTAGTGATATTTTTAGTATACTTTTACTACCTCTGATATTTGAAAATATATAGGTTAACCTAGAAAGAGTAACAGTCACGGAGGATAGACTTTTAAAACATTGTAAAAAATAATTAATTGCGGTTCAAAATCTGGAACCTGAGCTGTAATATCTACTTAATTATGAAAGATGAAAACACAATAAAAGTGTAGGTCAAACTCATTAAGTTTTATTAATTATCACGGGGGACATTTCGTGAGATTCACCCGTTTATACTAAAAATCAAATAAAACAAAAACTAACCGAGGAATTTTTTCACTTTATTTTCGCGTTGGATAGTTTTATTTTAAGATGTGTTGCGGTGCTTTTTTCATTATTGGGATTCCACAATAAATTGTCGAGAATACATGCGCTTGTTCCTCATTGATTGACGTATGAAAAGATAGTTTTTGATAGAGTGGTATCCTGGCGAACGGTCAGCAAGCAAAGTCCTTTTTAAAAATGATCGGTAAGCTTTGAATCGAAACTCGGTGGACCGCATAACTACATACACTTATGTAAGCAATATTCCGCTATTATAAGAAATAAGGACTTACAATATATACGTGTACGTTTGCGGAATACACTTACAATGAACATAAACCCTTAAAATAACATGTTTGCTTGCAGTTTTTTTTCTGAATGCACGCAGATGTTTTAAATAGCCAGAGAATCAATTAAAGTAAATATTATTTTTTTACATTTTAAAATCTTTTTTGATTTGTTATTTTTTGCAGTTGTTTCTTCATTCTATTGTGTATGTATAATGAAAAGTATGGTATACTTTGGTAAATAAAAAATAGTAAAACACTCTAAATACAGGGTGTCACCAAATAAATTGATAGTAGTTGTAAAAATAAGAAATTTTTTTCTCTATCACTTTTGCATTAGTGTATTTTTTTTAATAAAAAAATCATTTTTATAAGTAAAGTAGAAATTTTGGGCCGCCACTGGTTGTTCCTGACCTACGGCAACTGACGAAAAATGCGAACATTGTTGTAGAAAGCAAATTATTGTCATTAAACTAACCTATTTCATTAAAATCATTTTGTATAGTTGTCAATTTCATCCAAATTTTTATTTATCATAATTCATAAGATGACGAGCTGTTGTTTTCAAAACCCATACTTACCTGTAACTCATGTAATTTTTGACCTGGATGGAACACTTATAGGTATTGCCAAATTATAAAAATATATAATATAATATAAAAATATATATTTATATATTTTTTAGATTCTGAACCAATTTACGATAAAATATTTACAGAAATAGGAGAATCATTTGGCAAAAAAGTGAACAATGAACTAACAAGCAAAATCCATGGATCAATTTTAGATCGAGGTTTAGAAATATTTTGCGAACACCTTAAGATCGAAACTGATATGGACGAGCTTAAACAAAAGTTTTTAGATATCGAACAAGAAAAATTATCCGATGTACCACTAACCAAAGGTGAGATAATTTGTTTTAATACTTTTTAAATATTTATCTTCGAACAATATTTTACATTTTATGCTATTACGGGCCCATTGGGGACACTATAAGAAAAATCTAACTAAATGCAATCTAGAAAACTTGATGAATACCCAACTGGCTTATTTTGCTTATTTACTGAATTATGTTTACTTAAAGAGGTATTTCCTTTTAGGAGCAGCCGAGATAATTCAACACTTGGCCAACTTAAAAATACCGCTGGCAATTGCAACATCCTCTTCCAGAGACCAATACACACTTAAAACAACTGCACATGAAGATTTGTTTAGTTTATTTCATCACGTTATGTGTGGTGATGACGAAGAAGTCTTCAAATCCAAGCCAAACCCATGCATCTATTTGGAATGTGCGAAAAAGTTTCCTTCCAACCCTGACCCTCAGGAATGTCTCGTTTTCGAGGACTCTGTTAACGGTATGCTGGCAGGAATCCGTGCAGGAATGCAGGTGATTATGATTCCTGAAGATTCTGTGCCGTTTGAAAAATGGGGCAAGGCTACAATAAGAATTGATTCTTTGGAGATAGCTCCATTGGAGCTGTTTGGTTTAAGGCCGTTGAGGGAGCCTGAGAAAAATTCCTGCTTTGAGATGATGCCTGCTATACCGCAGGAGAGTGAAGATGCTCCAAATGAGACTGAAGAAATATAGCCTACAGAAAATCCAGAAAGTGAAATTTCATAATAAAAAATATTACTTTTTAAATGTTTACCAGTTTATTATTATTTAACTTTAATAAAAACTGTTCATATACTATACAATTTTTTAGAAATATTTTTATTATTAACCTCTATATGTCTTTATTGAACCTTTCTTCATTGACACAACGTATACCTACACACATGTGTCCCAAATAGAAAATGTACGTTTTGTCCACTCTTTTCTTTAAGCACCCGCACCCTTTCATTCACCTTTTACAACATTTATAGTTCAGGTATAAAATATAAAAGATTGATCCCTAAAAACTTAATTTCGTATTTGATTTATCAAAGGCTGGCTGGACATAGAGAACACATTTTTTATAGAAAGATTAAATCTGGAACTTTGACCATGTTCTTAAAAAGGAACAAAGGACAACAGGGTTTCTAAGATCTGGTATGATGTTTATTATACAAGCTTGCAAATTTTATGTCAAAAATGACTTTTCATAATTTACCTTTTAGGTATATTACAATAAGTGTATTTTTATGATAAAGGTGTCAATTATAGAATTTCTTGATTGGTCCAAACGAGTTTTTACAGCCTAGGAGGTAAAAAAAACTTAACCCAGAACTGGGTAGTGTCGAGTCCAATTTTTTTTAAATGTTCTTATAACGTGAAAATTGTACGAGTTTAATGAAAACAACAATATTGAAACAGATTTTTGTATACTCGTATAGCAAAAACTTTAAGAGTAAATAACTCCACTTCTCTGTTTTGCACTTGTACCCTACTTCTTATTCCTTCGTAAATAAAAATTTGTTGTAGGCTCTCTAAAATAAATAAATAAAAATATAGCATCTTCAAAGAGTAGAAATAGGCATTAATAAGCGACTTCTTAAAACCCAGACATAATAAAGCGACTGTATATTCTCTAAAAAATAATTGATATATTCAAAAGAATAATTTCTTCACATCCTTTAATTTTCCCAAATTGAAAACCACCTGTCCGACCATCCATTCAAATTTAAAATTCACGGTTTAGCACCACCGTAAGCGATTCGGCTTGAAATTGGCGTTGGTGTCTCGCCTTATCCACCGTGCGATTAAAGGCGATTTTTTATCAAAAGGATTCGGCCCAACATTAATTTTAATTTTCAACCCTCATCAAGATCGAAATAATGTCCCGAGAGCTCGCTTGCAACCTGTCCGCTACCCTTATGGTCAGTTCACCAGCTCGAGTTACATGCACCCTGAGCTGCTACCTTGCACATTTGTTTTTACCTGTACCCCGTCAGTTTAACTTCTAATATATTATCAGAGAAATGGGTCCAAATTTATTGTTATTAGGTGTTTGGACCAATTTTTTGGTATATTTCACTGCTTGCAGGTTAATAACTGTCAAAAGACGTCAATTTGTTACCCATTGAAAAGGTAATAAAAATTTGCATCATAGATTTGTTTACGTATAATCGTAGATCTTAAAAAATAATTTCTTCTTTTGTTCGCTTTTGCAAATTAGATGTAATCTTATAAAAAAGCATCTTATATATTTTATAAAAAAGCATCCAACTACCCTTTAATTCAAATGAGAAGTTAGGTACGTTTTTAGAAATTTTGGTATTTTAGTCACGAGACTTTTCTGGATATAAATTTTGTTTAACACCAAAGAAAATCATTTTTTTCTTTTTTAACATTAACAGCCACTTATTGTAAATAAGTAAATTAAGGACGGCATGGCGAATCGATTTTGACATTAACCCTTCAAACCAATGATTGAGATACCAACGTATACGTTGTCTGAAATTCAGAAGCACATGCAGTACCTTTTAAGAAAGATATTACTTGAAATGAGCAGCATTTCTTAACCACATCCATCCTAAAAATAGCCCCGTTATTAGCCACAAGGGCAGACGCATTCGAAAAGACAAAAAACGCATCTAAAAATAGTGCATGCATGCGTCTGGACGGACGCTGTCGGCCATCGATATGAGCCCGGTTATGCATCCAAGATGTTATTATTGTAGGTGAGGGTGCACACCGAAAATAGTACTGTCGAGGAGGTAATGTCGCAAGAGAGAGGAGATTAGTGAAGAGGGTGGCGCACATTTGGAGGAAGCCGCGACCTTGTCTGGCCTTCGCAGGAAATACCTAACTGTGAACTTACGGTTAATAAAAGTATGGAAAGTGTGAGGAGGGTTTATGTGATTTTTGGTAATATTCCGGATGTGTCATTTTTTGTATTAGGTATTAAAAGACATATTGTTTGGCATCTTGAAATTTGACCACCAGATCTGGGTATACTTTTTAAGTTTTTTGTTTTCAGGACAATATATTTTATTTTAATAGGAAAAGCATAAACTTTTTTTTTACTCATATATTTCTTAAAGTGTAACAGAATGAATTTTTTATCACTAAATGATAAACACTGGTGGCGACATCTCTGTGTTTATGTAACAACTTTTAGAACGTTTTAACCTTACTTTTTCCCAATTACATTTAGTTTGCATATTCCAAACTTGTTACAGAATATACTATTTTCCATTCCTGTTACGGAATATGACATATGATATATATCACATATATATGTATATAAACATATAATTATATTTGATGTAGTAAAAATAAATATTTTGATTTGTTATATTTACAATATTTGGTTTAAAACATTTGATGCTTATATGATAAAGGGTACACTAAATTGTGTAGTACCTACTATTTTATTTAGTAACTATACAAATTTAACTATTGTAACTATACAGATTTGCCATATCTTTAATATTTAAAAGCCACTAAGTGGCCTAGGATATTAGAAATGATCTTTTTTGCATGATTGAAAATCACTATATTTTATAAACTGATATAATAAATATATTTATTTACTTATTTATTTTACCTTTAAGCTCAATGATAAAATGTTAGTTAGTGACTTCTATCAGGGATATGACGATATGTGGTTTTGCTACTTTTTTTGAGATGCAACTAAATAAAATGGTTGGTACACACAGTAGATACTACACAGTACTAGTACAGCTGTACCCTTTAACATATAAAATCAAATGTTTTAAAGGGTATTTTTATGTTAAAGGTTTTTAAATAAGTTATTCTTTAAAAGGTGCCCAAAATTGATCATTTTAAAACACATTATACATACTTTTTACAAAAATATACAAAAATAACAAAAAAGTTATTATGTTCAGCAAATGTGCAAGTGCAATTTAAGTACCTAGTGCAGTACTTATTTAAGGTTATGCAACTCATTATACACTCACCCTTATGAGGGCGCCCTCTGTATGAGGGTAGTCGTATTTACTAAAGTACCATTAATTCCTAACTAATATCAATCCTTTTAAATATATAAATTTGACAGATAACAGATGACAGGTGGCAGATGACTAATAACGCACTCCTTACTATTATCTATTGCATGCGCCCCATTTTTTTCGTTTTAAATCTTACAATTATTTTATACTTTTTGGTGCGTTTTTTAGTTTTTTAAAGGTATTAATTTATTTTTAAATTATTATAAATTTATCCTTACTCATTTTATAGATATTAATACATATTTTCAAATTAACCCAGAAATGATACGCCATTTTATAAATTCCAGAACCTAATATATACATAATATTAAACATAATTATTTTTGGAACTACGTTTTTTCTAAAAAAACAAATTAAAAAATATGAAATAGTACATTATCTAACAGGCGGAGAAAGCGCCTATTTAATTAAATCCAAGCTGCTATTTTTTTTCAAGCATCTAATAACTCTGTTCTTAATTACATTTTTTTATCAAATTTGCGACATTTTGTCAGGTTTGACGCTTGACATATCTTATAATCTGTGTGTCATATTATAGAAGAAGCATGTAGATATAACAAACTGCGATAAAAATAAAAGTAAAATTTCATTTGTTCTCCATTACTTATTTTCTAATATAAGGATTTTTATTCCTATATTGTCCCAATAAAATATCCACAACTGTTGAACATTTTTAATCAAGCAAGCAAAGGCATGGGCTTTTACGTAAAAGCCCCGCGTGAATAGAAGCATAGTTGGATAGTGAATAGTTGCACTACCTACCACCGGATGGGGTGACCGATCGGGTGGGTTTTGCCGGGTCCCGTAGGCAACTCTAATAGAGATGGGAGCAAAGGCAAAGCCGTCGATATTAAATAAATCCCGTTGGAGAGCCCGGCCCGTATCCTAGTCTTTGTTTGTCAAAAGATTTTACACTTTAAAGTGTTGAACATGCAATCTACGTCAATTTATGAGAATATTCAAATTCTATAGAATAGGGATTATTTAATAGGGAAATAAATTCGAAAGCCCTTTATATTTGATATTTCTTAATAATAATAAATATGATTGCAATAAAAATAATTTTAGAAAGATGTGCAAATGTAATTCTTATCTTTTTTTTCTTTTTGAAGCTTTTGTCATTAAAAATTTATTATAAAGGTAAATGTGTATAACTAAAATTTCAAGATTGTGAAATTAACAATAATGATGTGTAATACATAATAATATTATTTTTAAATGTTTCCTTATTTTTTTCACAAAATGTTAATTTTACATTTTAAATTATTAACCATGAGCCATTATTATATTCGATATTACAAAAATTCTATAACTGTATTTGACAATTTTAATTTTATTTTTATGTATTTTATCACCATCATTAAATATTGTTTGCACTTTTATTATAGTATGGCCTAACAATTTTTTTAATGAAGTTTAATTAATCAGGGTGTTGAAAATTTAATGTCACGCTTTATTTTTCCTATGGCAAAAAAATTAAAAAGAAAATTTGTGTAGATATAGTCGAAGTGTATAGGTTAATTTAATTTTTGGTTTTGTCTTAATTGTATGAAATAAAAGGGTTGTTCTGTTGCCCCGTGACAACCGTAGAAAAAGTAAAAAAACTAGGCATTTAAAATGCAAATAATTTTAATCGCTGGTGATTTCGTCAATTAATTTAGTTAGCGGCGTCACCCCAATCAGCCGACT